CTTTTTTATTTTGTACATTTCAATTGGGGGAATTTTTCCTGTGGATTGGGATAATAATATACTATTTTCAATTGGGAATATGACCGAATATCGGCTATAAAAATAAAGGGGGAAAATCCCTGATATTTGTTTGATGACCAGTTATAACTTTTATCAGCTAAATTTAGATGTGTTTAAATGATTTGTTGGACAGCATTAGTTTTAAATCTATTTTGATTTGTTTTTATGTTATGTAGATCATACAGTTAAAACATTTGTAACATAATAAAAATGAATGTATTTCAAATATGTATGAAAAAAAAACCCAATTCATGATTGTATCAAAGAAAGAAGTGATACTATCGTCATGATAAACAGGAGAGCTCAATACACCTTATAAGGTGGTCATTAGTTGACACATTTTATAGTGGTGACCATTCCTCTTAAAAATCCCCTATTTCAGGAAAAAATTTCCTCTACAAAGAACCAGTAAAAAAACTTACTAGGGTGACAGTGTGAGGGGTTGGTCAGGGTCATTCCTCAGCGCAGGACATAAATGCTATTATTGATGTATAGTGGTATACATAAACTATAGCTTGAAAAGATAGTGTTGCATCACAGTCTAACGTAAAGAGGACTATTATCCTGGTTTTAAATATTTCCTTTCATGCTGTTTTCCTCTCCATTTACCCTAGCACCATTCTCATTAAAGTGGAAAAATGCACTGGGTGAAAACATGTCATATGACTGAAAAGATGCCATGTGACTGAAAATATGCCATGTGACCATAGCAGTGTGGTAATAATGACTCAGACCAATTTACAAAATACTGTGCACTATTTAGAACATATAAATCATTGTTCTTTTCTTTTCATTTCAGTATTTCACTGGCAAGCAACAATAATGGGCCCTGTAAGTACTTATAGATTTTAGAAACCTGAGATGCAAGTGAAAAGTAAATTTTGTTATTAGAATCATTTAAATAGACAAATTAATCGTTATGACTGTCGTTGAATAATTATAAGGCAGTTCAAAAAAAAGTTATTACTTGTACAAGGATGTTATAATTGCTCAATTTTATAGATTTTCAAAATTGTATAGATTTTCAAAAAAGGTAAAAATTAATCCAGAGCTATTAAAGAAATGAAAGTAAATATATGGAAGGAAATATACGTACACTCAGTACAAAAAGAAACGCAAACTGTATATATACCTGGTCATCTCCCATAGTGGATGTGGTGCAGAAAAAACTTCAATACCTTTTCAATATTTCATCCATGCTTTATTCAATAACACAACAATTTCATTGATACCTGTAAAATTACGAAAGTTCCAGCAGTTTAAACACAGCGCTATCGATCACGAAAATTTCAGTTTCAATACCTTGTGTGTCCACCCTTAGCATTGATAAGCGCCTGGCAGTGGCGACGCATAGAGGTCACTAACATAGCAATGGATGCCTGAATGTTATTCCACTCCTGCACTGCGACACGACGAAGTTCCTGCACCGTCTGGGGCTGTGGCTGATGCTCATAAATGCGACGTTTTAGGTCGTCCCAAAAGTGTTCAATAGGCGCCATATCTGGCGACATTGCAGGCCAGTCTAGCACATTGGTGTGGTTCCGAGCAAGAAAGTTTTCAGTCAAACGTGCTGTGTGCAGGCGAGCGTTATCCTGTTGAAGTGTCCCATGTCCCTGAAAATGACGGTTCATGTACGGTACGACAACAGGTGCTAGAACATCATTGACATAGGTCTGAGCATTGACATTACGGTCGAACACTACAAGATCTGTTCTTCCAAACTGTGACATCCCTGCCCATATGTGAATGGAGCCAGCACCCCAACGATTAAAAGTCTGAATACAGGCTTCGGCATAACGCTCGTTCCTGCGCCTCCAAACATGTGCACGACCATCGGCTCTGCTCAGCACTATTTTAGTTTCGTCAGAGAAAAGTACCCTGCTCCAGAATCTACGGATCATTCTTATGTGCACTCTAGCCCACCGTAGTCGATCCCGTTTGTGACATGCAGTGAGGCGTGATGCCTTGAGGGGTCTCCTACACCTCAAACCAACTTCCTTAAGCCGATTTCTAACTGTGCGTGTATACTGCGCCTGAAAAGTAACGCAACGTCTCAAAAAGGGCAAACCTCATCAAAATGTGAACAGCTCAAAATTTGATAAGAGGAAGAATTTCGGAAAGATAGCAATATTTTCTACTACCCGTGAGTACCTATTGTTCGTCTAGCTGTAGAGGACGCCGCTTCCAATTGATTACGTAGATGCCCCACTCGAATATTCACATTCTGTCTCCTAGTGGTTATTCGTGGTCGACCGAATTTTGGTAAGTCTTTGACACTGCCAGAGGCATTGTACCTATTCTGTAGACGAGTGATAGTGCTAACATGACAATTAAATCGCCGTGCAACGTCAATCTTCGAAACACCAGCTTCAAGTAAACCAATTGCTTGATTCCGCAAATGTTCAGCAAGGCGCGGCATGGTTATAAAGTACTGACAGTTCAAATAAACTTGTTTTTCATGTGTACCGATTCATCACTACACGGCTACATGTATAGAAACTATCGGTAAACTATAGAGCACGGTGTGCACGTGGAAATGTGGTTTGTACAGTTTGCCGTTAAACTGCATTGAGGGAGGTAATAAATTATGCCGTTTTGTACTCAAGTTAACAATAAAATGTCATTGAGAATATTAAAGGGAAAATTGTTTGTCCAAATTTAGTATAAACCTAAAAAAATGAAAAATGAAAATGTTGCGTTTCTTTTTGTACTGAGTGTATTTTTAGCTCGACTATTCAATAAGAATAAGTAGAGCTATTGTAGTCATCCGAGCGTCGGTGTCAGCCTCAGCGTAACCACTATGTTAAATTGACAGAATTTTTACTTTGAATTTATATTAAAGTTTTTGTAATACCTCAAATATTTTCAAAGTCCATTGACATATGGCTTTGAAACTTTGCACACTTGTTCACCATTATAACCCCAACCTGTAGACAGGAGGAGGTAACTCTTTCAAGCATTTTGGCAGAATTATGCCCCTTTTCAACTTAGAATTTACATCTAGGTTTGCATACCACCTCAGATATTTTCATATTCTATTGAAACAAGTTGAAATTTTATACTCTTCTTTGAGAGCATAAAAAGACTCTCTGGAAGGCCTATAACTGTAACATGGATTTAAAGAAAAAATTTGTCCTTTTGTTATTAACTCTAATTAATTTTACATTATCAAGGCTCTTTTACTATCAAGCATTAAGAATAGTCGAGCGTTGCTGTCCTACCAACAGCTAGTGTTTTAATTCAGTATCACTGAAAGATGTGCTTCAGCTTGCTTAATTGTTTAGTTTATTTATTTTGTCGAAATGTTTTATTTTAAAAATAGACATTTATGTACTTTAAAGATTATGGTATTCCTAAATATTTCAAAACTGTAATATTGATGACTCATTTATTTTGATAAATGAATACATCATTACATGAGAGATTACAAATTGTATTAACATAGGATTTTTCATATCTCATCAATCATGAATAATCTTATTTTATCTTTTTTACATTGTGTGTTTTCCATATCTAAAAAGGTGCACTATTTGACAAAGTTCATGTATGATTTGACATGCAGTATCAAAAGTAAACTTCATCTGTCAGGGCTTTACTTTCATCTGTATCAGGGGTTGCTTGGAAGCATTTTCTACTCAGAAAATTCTTCAATCTATGTGTATTTAAACTTTAAAGACAAGCAGTGGTCTATTATGATATAAGTAATAAGTTGTTAATTTTTTCATTTCAGCCTGACAGTCCTTACCAAGGTGGTGTATTTTTCCTCACTATACATTTCCCCACAGATTATCCTTTTAAACCACCAAAGGTAAGTGCTTTAATAAATGATTTTAACACATCCAGTGAAAGTGATAATGAAAAAAAAGTGTTAAAAGATTTTACAGGTAGGGTTGGGAGAGAATTTATGTAAATAAGATGGGGGCTCTCAGCTGAATAAGAGATCGGTGGTTTTTCTCATTTGATTGGGGAGAGGCCCTAGCCTCTTGATTTTGGGGAAAATTATTGCTAAAATTGCTAATTTGGGAAGTAAAAAAGCTTTGGTAAGTTCAGATTTTTGGGAAAACTATGTTTGGAAGAGGCCTTGTATAGGCCTCTGTTATATACAATGTATAGTGAAGAATCACTGGATATGGATTATTATATATCTTTCTTTGTATGCTTATATTGAATTATTCTGTTATTGTTTTCTACTTGTAGCTGTTCAAAATAACTCTGAGCTTAAATTATTAATGCAAAGTTATAATTTGTATACTGATTTAATTGATACATCATACTCAAGATAGTAAATGTTGAAACTACTTAGTAAATCCTGAACAGTCAATACGAATAACAATGCATAATGTTTGAACTCCTTTTGTATTTGACTGTTATTCTTTGAGATTCTGCTGAAGATTTTTTCTTATGGGTAAGTTGTCCAGGTACTTTCTGTACGTTGGTGGTTCTACTCCAGAAATGAAATGATGCAGTGAGGGACTGAATTCTGCATGATATCAGTGAAGCTTGGAAGTTGCCATACAATAATAATGATGATAATAATAATAATGTCTTTATTATGCTCCCCGAAAAATCTTGAGGGAGAATATAGTCACCGGTTTGTCCGCCAGTCTGTCCCGAATTCGTGTCCGGCCCATAACTTCGTTATTTTAAGTCGGATTTTGCAACTATTTCACAGAAATGATCTCCATATTGAGACTGTGTTGCGCGCAACATTTGGGTCGCTACCCATAAGGTCAAGGTCACAGCATGACCTTGCAGCAAAATAGTGTCCGGCCCATAACTTGTTATTTGAAGTCGGATTGTACAACTCTTTCACAGATATGATCACCATATTTAGACGATGTGTTGCGCGCAACATTTTGGTTGTTTTTTAGCTCGACTATTCGCAGAATAATCGAGCTAATGCAGTCACCCATTTGTCGGCGTCGGCGTCCCTGTGGTTAAGTTTTTGTATGTAAGCTGGTATCTCCATAACTACTGAAGGGAATGGATTGAAACTTCACACACTTGTTCTCTGTGAATATCTAAGATGATTGGCACAAGTCCCATAACTCTGATTTGCTTTTTTTCATAATTATGCCCCTTTTTCGACTTAGAAATTCTTGGTTAAGTTTTTGTATGTAAGCTGGTATCTCCATAACTACTGAAGGGAATGGATTGAAACTTCACACACTTGTTCTCTGTGATTATCTAAGATGATTGGCACAAGTCCCATAACTCTGATTTGCTTTTTTTTGTAATTATGCCCCTTTTTCGACTTAGAAATTCTTGGTTAAGTTTTTGTATGTAAGCTGGTATCTCCATAACTACTGAAGGGAATGGATTGAAACTTCACACACTTGTTCTCTGTGATTATCTAAGATGATTGGCACAAGTCCCATAACTCTGATTTGCTTTTTTTCATAATTATGCCCCTTTTTCGACTTAGAAATTCTTGGTTAAGTTTTTGTATGTAAGCTGTTATCTCCATAACTACTGAAGGGAATTGATTGAAACTTCACACACTTGTTCTCTGTGATTATCTAAGATGATTGGCACAAGTCCCATAACTCTGATTTGCTTTTTTACATAATTATGCCCCTTTTTCGACTTAGAAATTCTTGGTTAAGTTTTTGCATGTAAGCTGGTATCTCCATAACTACTGAAGGGAATGGATTGAAACTTCACACACTTGTTCTCTGTGATTATCTAAGATAATTGGCACAAGTCCCATAACTCTGATTTGCTTTTTAACATAATTATGCCCCTTTTTCGACTTAGAAATTCTTGGTTAAGTTTTTGCATGTAAGCTGGTATCTCCATAACTACTGAAGGGAATGGATTGAAACTTCACACACTTGTTCTCTGTGATTATCTAAGATGATTGGCACAAGTCCCATAACTCTGATTTGCTTTTTAACATAATTATGCCCCTTTTTCGACTTAGAAATTCTTGGTTAAGTTTTTGCATGTAAGCTGGTATCTCCATAACTACTGAAGGGAATGGATTGAAACTTCACACACTTGTTCTCTGTGATTATCTAAGATGATTGGCACAAGTCCCATAACTCTGATTTGCTTTTTAACATAATTATGCCCCTTTTTCGACTCATGAATTCTTGGTTAAGTTTTTGCATGTAAGCTTGTCTCTCCATAACTACTGAAGGGAATGTATTGAAACTTGAAGAGTTTGTACCTTTTCGGACAATTTTATGTATTCATATAGGTAAGCATTATTATACTCAATGAAACACCCTTGTGACAAATTTTCGAATAGTCGAGCGTTACTGTCCTCCGACAGTTCTTGTTCACTTTGAACTTTGTGTGTGACATAACTGACACTACAAGAGGTATACCTTCCTGTGTCCAAAACCTATTCGGTGAGCATCACCCGGTTCAACAGGCTCTTGTTTAAAGAGGCAACATAGTTTGGCATGCCTAGTGTTTGTAATGAACCTCTTAAGATATTTTTAGCACATTTTGTATCATATTGCAGGTTGCCTTTACAACTAGAATATATCATCCGAATATAAACAGTAATGGTAGTATCTGTCTAGACATACTACGATCACAATGGTCACCTGCTTTAACTATATCTAAAGGTAAGTTCTTACTGCTGTACTATATTAACAGCCGAGCACTGTGTAAAGTCTCTTATCATGCTTATTTATTAGTATGAATATTAATATTCTTGTAGACCATTTATCTGGTGGGTGTGTATTTAATATGGCAGGGCAATTTTAAGATTTGCTGATTATCTCTGACAAATTATGAAAATATACATCTCTAAAGCACTGGTATTTTGATGAAGGAATGAAGTGAACTACCATATTTGTAAAAAAAGTATTTTCTAGTAGCATTCTGCAGCAGTTAAACCTGTGCCAGAGACTGTCGGGGAATAAACGTTTTCCGTGCTTTGAATAAATGCATTCTAAATTATAAGCTTTTAAGAAGCCACTTGTTAACAAGCTTTTAGAAACCACTCCTTAACCAGTGCCCCTTTTACCATTTCCTGATACTGATCTGTATACACATGGTTGACTATATAAAATCGTTACAGTGTTTTAGAGATGTTGCATATTTATGATATTTTAACATTATTGTGTGCTCTACCACTGTGTGTAGCAAAAAAAATAATTTCATGCTCATCAAGTTGATTACAATGATTTAACATGAGTTTAGCAATACCTTTTGTAATGTGGAATTCCAGGAGAGAAAAACAAAAGTACAGTCCGTTTCTCTACACACATAACATCTGATTTAAATTAGAATCTTCTCATAGCTGTTAAAATTATCTGCTCAACTTGCTGTTTGATGAGCAGTCAATAGTTTTCATTCAGATTTCTGCCTTTTGACGCTTAGAGCACAATTATCATATTTTCTATTTGTATAATGGCTGTTGTATATCGTTTATTCTTTTCAGGGTTTTTGCTTTTAATAATATTTCATACTAACACATTAGCTGATTTTTACCTCCTTGAAAAAAAATATCACCCTTCTAAATTTATGTACTGGACTTCTTTGAATTTAATTGGAACAGTCCATTGTTGATTTTAAGGGATTTCAGTATCGTAATACAGAAATGGAGCAGCCAACAGTATAGTCGTGTCAGACTGCACGGACGTGCAGACTGCCCTGATACTATATAATTGGTTTAAATCAAGTCAATGTTGTAGCTAGATCGAAAATATAAAATTGGATTTGAACTTGCTAGAAGTTATATGATTTTAGATCATGAATTAAAAGTTGTCTGATAGTTATTATGACTTGGGGAAATTGATAAAAGTAATTAAAATGTTGACATAAAAGTTAAGTGTGTGTAGAATTTATATATTTTGAAGAAAACGAAACAAGTGTTCACAATTTGGTGTGGTTGTAAATGCATATGTGTTGTGTACTGACTGTCCTAACGATCCCAGACTGACAAAAATGAAGTACTTGGGTTAAAACTATGGAGTTCCTATGCCTTTTATAGTGAATCCCCTAGTCTTATTTGTTTACAAAATCTCATTAAAATTTGGTTGATGCTCACATATGGGCTTTGAAATAATGATTTTTGTTAAGTTTTGATATTTCTTAATAAAATTTGTGCATGTTGTCATGTCATATAGTAAAGATTTTAAGTTCAAATGGCATATACTTATTTTCTAATTTTGACTAAATTTGATATATATATTTATACTGAGTGAAATTTCTTGAGTCTTGGAAGTTTCAAGAAGACAATATCATTTTCGTAACTGGCGGGCATTTTTTATATATCGTTGAAATTCAAGACAATTAAAGTCGTAAGTATATTCTATTTGATTCTTAAAAAAAAGATTAGATAAGATATTCAGATATCACCTCTTTTAAAGTATAATTGAATAATGATTTACTAGTAATAGTAGATGTTGTTTTATCACTTACATGATAGAATTAATTTTTGAAGTAGTAAATATAGACAAATAGTACATCCTTCGGCCTTTGATAAACATTGTAAGTGAAGGAATGGTTATTTTATTTGATGCAGGTTTTTTACTGGTACAAATTACAGGAACTCTCGTTATGGTAAATTATAACTGAAATGAACAAATTTTTATTCAAACATGGATTGAACGAAATACTGCGTTGTTGTGCACAAGTAATATAAGTCCCGTCTAATATATATTTAGAACCTATATTTTCAATCCCCTAGGTCTTAATAATTGTGAAAACCATGTAACCTATAAACTAATCAGATTTTCCACAAAGCTCTTTAGTTTTAAAATAGTTTTTACCTAGATTTTGTTGATTGATTTCTTTCACACTACCTTGTGCTCAATAGCCAATACTTCTTGGACATTTTTACTAGGTTAATTTTAGTTTTAACACAACAAACAGAATTTTTTTTTATCAACCTTTATCCTGCGAAATTTATGTAAATGAGTAACTCCTGCTTTGTATTTGGACACTTCCATTGTTAGTGAATTGAATTTCAGTTTAAAGATTCTAAAATACAGGGTATTAATTAAGCAATGTATAGTAAACTTTGGTCAGTCAGCACGGCCGTACAGACTAGACTAGCTATGTACTGGATATATATATATATATATATAGACAGGTTGTTATTGCCACTATTATTCAAAAGACTTAACCTTTCACCTGCTGAATTTGTGTGATAGATTCATCCATGTTGACTTCGGAACAGTTAAAAGGATTTCAGAATCAAAATATAAGAATTAACTTGCCTATTGTTATGAGTTAGAACTTGGCTCTTTACTGGTGTCAAAGGCTGATCACTTTCAGTTTCAGCAGGTTAAGGGTTGAAAATCAACATGGACTAACTCTTTTCTTTCAAACCAATCATAGTAATAAAGTACACTTTTCCAACTGTAGAAAATCCACTTTTCTGGAAATGTTGCCCTTTGTGTTATTTAATGATTTCCAAATAGCCCTTGTTTCATACCAATAGTTATGTAACAGAAAATTACTTAACATTGAATTGGTATAAGTGATTCTTCAACACTTATACCGGTAATTTAATACAAGTTAAAAAAACATAAACATTTTTTTATAATGTTTATGTAAAAGTAGCAAGGCAAAATATTCTGATATATTTTCAGTTCTGTTGTCAATTTGCTCGTTGCTGTGTGATCCAAACCCAGATGACCCTCTTGTGCCAGAAATTGCAAGAATCTTCAAAACAGACAGGGACAGATACGGAAAAACAGCAAAAGAATGGACTCAAAAATATGCTATGTAGTCAAAAGTGCTAAGAAAATGATCTACAGACATTATGTTGTACAAAAAACATTTTATTTTATTTCTGGACAAGATTTGAAGTGACAAGTAACTAACTCTGAGTGAATTCTGATGATATATTATTCTCCTCCTTTCGCTTTCAGACATTTATTAAGAATATTTGTAAATTTGAGAATGAAGTAATTAATTAGTGAATCAAGTGCTAGTAAATATACATGATAGGTGGTCGAAAATGATGCTTGAACAGTCGGTATTCACTGTTGATATTAATGAATGTTACCATGTAAATATATCATAATTAATGAGTAAATCTGTGAAAAAAATGATGATTTTTGATTTTAACTGAATATTAAGCAGCATAATGCAGGTTTACACAAGTTGATTAAGGAAGTTGTGAAGAAGAAGTTTATCATTAAGCAGTAAAGATATCTAACTTCAAAGCACTTGTCCATGGTTTAGTTAAAAGTTACATAGTTTAATGAAGGTTAGTGGTTTAAACTTCTAGTGCACACTTGTGGATTTGAAGGGGTGACGTACAAAGACAAAGTAGTTGCCTTTTATGGTATCTGGAAAATACCGAGTTGACTAAAATGACAAACCTTTTGACCTGTATCCCAGTAAAATTAATATATTCAAACAACATCATTGATCTAACAGCAAAATCCAGCATTCATGGCTCTGAAAAGTACTTTGGCTGCCATGTCATCAGAAAGGGAAATCTGTTGACAAGCCATGAAAAATTATTTTGAACTGTTAATATTTTTTATTATCATTAAAAACTAAAGCCAAAAATGAGACATAGTGACATGAGACATAGTGACAGAATATGTGTATTAATCAATATAAAGCTTTAAGTTTCTTCTCAAAATGTTTTTTCCTGGATTTAAAAAAAAAAAGGGAGAAATATTTCGTGTTGAACCACTAAGTACGTAGGAAGAGATAGTGATGTTTAAGTGGGTATGATCTGCCTGCTTACATAAGGGTGTAACTGAGGTCTATGGCAGGGTGGTAAAGGTCATTGATTTCAAACCACTTCCCTATCACAGCTGTAGGTTTGAGCCACGCAAGCGTCATGGGACTCTACATGTGAGAAAGTCATCCAGCTAGCTTGACATTGTGGAAGGTCAGATCTTCCCAGGTGTCCATTGGTGCCTGAAGTAATGTATATGGGGCGTCTAATGTCGACCTCCACCAGAAAAGCTGGAATGTTGCCATATGACCCATACAGAGTTGTTGCGAAGAAAAACCCCACAAAAAAAAAACCTGAGGTTAAGTTGTTGCAAAGAAAAACCCCACAAAAAAACCCACAAAAACAACCCTGAGGTTATGACCATATTTGTTCTATTGATAGTATCTTGAGAAAGCTTGAAACTTGAACTTTACATGATTGAACAAACAATCGGATTGAAATGAATAAACTTTAACCAAGACATTGGTTGGTGAATGTTTATTGTTGTGATAAATGAGTGTGAAGAAATACTTTTGAAGATTGTTTATTAGTCGTATCAAATAAATTTTTGAATTGATGCTAGGTGACAATTAAGAATTACTACTCATTTCACATGTCAAGAATTATAAAAGTATATGTATATATATAAATGGAATAACATTTGATTTACCCAAGACATATGATTCACTTGGGCGCTCCGGAACTGATTCCTATCAGTCCAAAATAGCTAAACATGATAACATAAATGGCCTGCACAGGTATCTGTTATCTAAATATTGAAAAACTTGTATTACACGTAATACAGCAAGAAGAAATAAAATTTTCTGTATATGAGTAATATTTCATCATTTCAGCCAATTTGTGATATCATTTTTAATGAAAATCTGGATACAGTAAAAATATGTTTGATAGACAAATATACATACAATATTATCAAGTTATACAGATTTTTAACAGGTATATAGCTGTATATAAATGGCTGTTCGCATATTGTGGCTTGGGTTATATTACAAACAACTGTTCTCATACAGCCATATAACCTGCCAAGAATCTTTTAAGCAATTTTATAATACAGCAAACTTGCGTCATTACAGAAAAATATGAAATTACCCAATAGATAGTTAGCAGCGGTGTATATAGTTTATAATGTGATGATTATCCAATGAAAAGCAATGTTACAAATGTGCAGTATTACAATGATTTTAATAAAATAAGACAGTAAGGTGTCTCAGCATTTCCAATATTTGAGACAAAAGCCCTGACAGAAGGATTATAGGAATTTTCATGACTGTCTTAACAGTATTGAAACCAGAGTCAAAGTCGTAAGTATTTTTTTTTGAATTCTTGAAAAAATACAAGAAAAGAAACAAACTCTTTGATAAGATTTTTGTTGTGTTAAGCTATCAATTGGCAATAAGTTTACAATCATACCAATTTGGAAGAAAAAGACAAGAAAAGAAACATGACTCTTTGATAATATTTTTGTTGTGTTAAGCTGTTTGCAATAAGTTAACAATGGATACCAATGTGGAAGAATAGGGGTCTTATCATTTCATTATATATATCTTTTCTGGTATTTGTTATACCTTATATTTTAATTGAAACTTTCATTTTGTTTATGAAATTTTGATCCTAGTTTAAATGTTTGATTTAATGTTACCTTTTGCAACTTAGTGTTTTTGTCACGCTTGATAGCTTTTTAACAAACATATTTTTTCAGATTTATATGAAATTTGTAAAGAAATTTAAGTTTAATAAAGTTATTATTTTATGAGTGAAATTTGTGGCAACAAGACCAGCATAATCTTGTTTGAATTTAAATTTGGATTTAATTATCAGCAATAGACTTAAACAAAATATAATTGAGCTAAAAATTTTGTTCTTGTTCTCTATGTTACTACCGTTTGGGCAATTCTAAATCTGTTTAAATGTGAAATTATTTTCAGATTTAAGGATAAATAAGTCATAGGTCTTGGTTTCCTATTAATTTCTGTCTGACTTGAACATCTTGAAATGTAGATATTATTGAAAACAGTATTAATTTAAAATTATGTGTGTGTGTGTGTTTCTTTTCTAGTTGAATTATTTACCTATTGGCTAATAATTTGCTTGATATCTTTTAATCCTAACTTACAATTTGATTAAACGTCTTTAAAATAGTAATTTTCTCTAATTTAATGGAGCATTCCCACTCTTAAGCTATGTAAGAGCTGAAAGTTAAATATTTTGATCACTTCATGTATGTTTGTTGTACAATTAGATTATTACATAATAAGGTCACGTTAACTTTCTATTAATATGAAATCCTGGTTGGCACACTTCCCTTACTATTTCGTTATACAAATTACTAATGTAAGTGAAATTGTAAGAAGGTTAACAGACCTAAACTTTAACATTTTAAGGTTAAATTTAAAGAAGGATATTAAAAGTTATACAGAAATTTATCTAATTTTATTCCTCACCTTGATTAAACAGAGGTATTTTTTGAAAGTAGGTCATCAAGTGTTATACACTAGGTCAGATTGTGAAATAAACAGGTTCTTTTTCTAGTGGTTATTAGTTCATCTGAATTTTACTAGTACTTGACCCTTAACTTGCTGGAATGATGGTTAGGAAACTACCCGCCTATATGACTGAAATACTGTTTGGAAAAGATATAAAATGAAACAAACAAACAAACAAGCTGGAACCGAAAGTGATAAAGATTTTTCAAGCAGTATGGAACCAGGCCAGGCTGCATTACAGTACAGGGTGACTAAAGCTTTATACTGTTGGTAGCTCAGTTTTATACCCCCATTACTTGGGGTGGGCCTGGGGGGCTGGGGCATATACCTTTGCCTGTGCTTGAACCTTACAATGTCTGTCCATAGACTGATGAACTACTAGTATAATGTTGCGGCATTCTTGTCCTATGGACACATTTCTTGTTGTATTTTCATATTTAAATACCTTAAATTTCAAATAGACTGTACCAAATTCAAAGCTGGACAAGTCCATTTCAAAAATTCAGCAGGTTAAGTTTTAATCAGGAGAACTTGTGCTTAAATTTCAAATAAAAGAGTTGTCATGTAGGCTTAATTCCTTTAACAATAGGCCATGTCTTACTAAAAAGATCTTAAATCTTAGCTAAAGTACACTGTTAATTGATCAGAATATGCAGTTTATTAATAAAATATTGTAAAATCCTTTATCCTTAGATAATCCTCTGATTAGATGTTAAGGTTATCATCGGATAACCTAATGAAATTTTATAAGTTTAACATACTTGAATGAAAAAATTCTAAATAATAAAGTGGTTTTTTTTCCTCAAATTATTTACTTTTCTTTGTTACTTTATAAGATAGTGCACAAATGTGATGGCCATTTTATTTTCAGTTCTATTGTCCATTTGCTCGTTGATGGATGATCCAAATCCAGATGATCCTCTTATGCCAGAAATTGCAAGAGTCTACAAAACAGACAAGTCCAAATATTCAGAATCAGCAAGAGAATGGACGAAAAAATATGCTATGTAAATGATATTGTTAGGACCTGTCTAAGGACAAAATCTTAAAACTGGAAAATGTAATACAGTGTACTACATTGGACTATGCTTATAAAAATTTGTGTTGTAATGTTTTGTTTTTTTTTGCTGTCATTTTTTTCTTCAGAACACAATTTGAAAAAATATCTGGCAAAAACCTGACACTCGGGTTATAAAACTTTTTTTTTCATTGGTCAGTGTACATTCTATGGCAGTTTCTGACCAAGCAAATAGAAAATTACTATTGAATGATAAAGATAATAAAAATTTGATCAAGACTCTTAGCTAACTCCATTGAAGCATTGTAGTTAAACAATTTATTAAAATGAAGTTAGGAAAGATTAACCAAAAAAATCATGGACACCACAAAACACATTGAAATTGATGTGAACTTTGTTCTGCACAGCTACTGGGTCATGTAAATACATATTTGTTATTGTCTTGTTAGGACAAGGTAGAATTTGTCCAGAATCTGCAGCCACTGACATATTTGTATATACATGTATAACATAACATAGCCTTAATCACCATGCTCTATACTGTAGGTAGCTTTATTTTGGTACTTTTATATTGATTGCCCTAGAAGTTGAAATGGACTGTTCCAAAATCAAAGCAAGGCAAAGGCCCATTATGTCTCCGAAATGCTATCAATTTTATTTCTCAAAATATTTTTATTTCTGGTATCAAAAAAAAAAACAACATAAAAAAAACATATTAGCTATATTCATGAATTATCTTCTGCTACTTTTGCTCTGTTGGCAGTTAGTATAATTATAGTAAATTAGTGTTTTGTATGAAAATACTACTTTGTTTAAATTTTTGCTACCTTTACAACACATTACTGCATGTTCGGAGTTACTTTCGTCAGTTGTTAAACATTTAGTATGTTTTTATTCCATTAATTAAAACATTACTATACCCCCACAAACAAACCTTTTTAACAGGTGCTAAGCAAAGTCTCATCTTCATAAAACTTGCTCAGAATGTTTAGTTTTGGTGATTGTACTTTAGAATGTTGCAACTTGGAATACTATGTTTTGAGCTCAGCTTTTTAACTAAGTATAAACAATCCTAGGGTAATACATACACTTAACAAAAATAGCTTAGAATATAAAAATGCTTCTAATAGCACCTTCTGCCTAACCTCCTGGCTGATGTATCCTAAGCTGTTTTAATTTGAGAATCAACCATTTGAAAAAAACAACAAACATAAACAAAAAGCAAGTCACATGCTTAGCTCATATTGTTTTGAATTAATTTAGTTGACAGATAAAGGTTCATTGTATAGTTGGATATCAATTGTTTATTATTATTGCTGTGTTCCCTTTAGTTTTTTATCACTAAAATTTTGTTATTAACTTGCTCTTCATGGAATATGGATATTACAATTAGGAAAAATTTATATACCAATTATCCTTTAATTAGGCAGCTGGCATTATAGTGTAAGTAAAAAACACTCTGATCTGATACTATCACTGTAGGTGATTGAAGAATCTTAATTAAACCCCTGTATGAAGATTTTAAAATTATACTTGAAAATTTCAGTTACATTAAGGTAAAAGTTGTCAAGAAGTTGCCTTTGCAAATCATGACATCTATGTTGTACTTTCTTTGATTATTTCCCCATTATGCGTTGATCTAACTAATTCTACTTTCTTTTGTATGTGATACTTTAAATTTACCAAGTATCAGTAAATACAGCATATACAATCAATAAATGAAAATAAAAGTATTACCAAGTGTTGTAGTGTTTGATTGTCCCCCTTTATGTGAGAAAATCAGCCAGTCAGTACTGTAATGCTTCATTTTAGAATAGAATAACATTTAATTTCTTTTTGTCGTACAGTCAAGTATTTCATAAAAAATCAAATAATTTTAAATTTGTAATAGTGACTTGTCATAGATATCTACTATGATGGGAGTATGGTCAATGTCGCAGAAATAAGCTTTGGATTTCTGGGCGAAGTTAAATGAGATTTAAAGTAAAATCATCACCTAACTTCGTCCTAAAAGAAGTCCATGATTTTCTAATCGAAGATCACAGCATAAGATACCTAGGCTTTCACATAGCATTTTAATTTAAAAATGAAAAGATGCACAAGACACCAAATGAATAAGACATCTTTCCATCATAGTTGCATTCATTTAGACCGTGGAATTCAGTGCTTTCAGCACTTTGATTATTGTTTATTTCAGTGTTACTCTCCATTTGTTCACTTCTCTGTGATCCAAACCCAGATGACCCTCTTGTACCAGATATTGCGCGCATCTACAAAACAGACAGGGAAAAGTACAAAGAATTGGCTAAAGATTGGACAAAGAAATATGCCCAATAGACACTTGTAATAGTTAAAGACTTTGTCTAAGATAATAGATGCATAGGAAGTTAAAAGTTATTATTGTTCAAGTCATTTACAAAGCAGTTTCAATAATTGGCACAAGAATTTTTTTTTAACAAGATCATGGACTCAGTTAAAATTTTTATTGTAACAGAACTCTTGGATAACTAATCAGTACAAGTATGTTAATCTTTCTTTGGTGTAATTTAGTGAATGAATATAATCTTACCCCACCCACTTAATTTAGGAATAAAATAAATATCTTCATTTTTCTGATGACAGTTATAAAGGAATAGTCAAGATATAAAATGTTTTTTATAAAATCAATGACTGCATTAGGTTATTTAAAATGCAGGCACTGTTTAAGAGGTATTTGCTGTTAAATAGTTGTTGGAAATAAAAAAAACAAGTAGATCTGTGAAGTTACTGTAAAATATGTTTTAATTTTATCAAGTATTCTGTAACATTGTGATTTATATTTAATCTTTATAATTAAATGATTTAACTTCAATGTTGCTCTTAGAAATGCTTAAAATTATGTTTAGTTGAGTTTTTTGTAATGATTTACTTTCTTTGTTTTATTTTGACAGGATAAAAGACTGTTCAATACTTTGTTTCCTGTTTAATATTCTTTATCCTTGATTTAAGCCTTTGCCATCAGTATAGTGCCAGACCAACCTGTACATTTGTGCAGTCTGACCAGGCTCTATACTGTTGGCTGACCAAATTTTAAATTTTCATCTTGATATACCCAAAATTTATAATGGACGTTCCAGAAATGGAAGCTTGACAAATTCAATGGTCTAAAGGGATATTGCCACATCTCATTCTTACAATATTTTTCATTTTTCTGTTGTTGTGATAAGAAGTGCTTAGATGGATATGTGCTATTTTTGTGTTATATTTTGTTCTTGATGATTGTTTTTGTTGGTTTCGTTACTTCACTATAGGGTATCTTTGTGTGGGTCTGAATTTGAGTGCACTTATTTGTTATAAACTTATATATAGGTACATATACTTTCTCTACTCTGTTGTTTTTGTATTTAAGAAAGATGATATTAATTAAGTGAGTTGAAAGTAAAATTTGATCATTAGATTTAAAAAAAACAAAAAAAACAAAAACACTTGATTTCTGATAATTTGAAAGGTTCGGATAATTGTTCGCAACCATCAGTTTAAATTTTGCCTATTTTTAGAATGTGTGACTGCATGTCAATCAAACTGAGCAATTATCCAATAAGATGAGGGTACTGCACAGATGTTCAATCAAATTGCTTAAATTGTTCATATAACCTGTAAAATTATTTCCTTTTCATTATGCACACCATTTAATCATTGCTGGCAAGTACTTTGGTATTTTAGATCATTATGCTTAGACATTTTGAGAATGTTCTCTATTTTGTGGAAAAAAAAACAACTATTAATAGGTATTTAAAGTTATTACTGGTACTAACACAGCAACATAAATTTTTGTTTTCATATTTTGCATACATGTAACAATTTATTATTATTAATTACTTCTGTATAGTTTTATTGTTAGTTAGATACATGATGACTTTAATTGATTGTAAATAAAGCTGTATTAAAAAAAAAAAAGTCTCCAAAATGGACACATTTGTGCAATTAAGTTTATTTTTATCACAAGACTTCCCATTAAAAAACAATTGAATATACAAGTTATTTTGTGGTTTTATTAATAATTGTAACATTTATTTTTAACCATGCTTCAGCATTTAAGTGATTAAAGGACTGCAGCTTAGAATAAAAGGGCACAATAAAGTGTCATTTTTACTGTCTTATTAAGTAAAATATTTTTATTATAGATACATTTGTAACTTGATAGTTAAAAGTATGGAAACCCTGACAAATATAACTATATTTGAAATAATTGATTGTAATAAAGTGAATATCATTATGTTTTGAATTAAATCATAACTTTCCCATATGTGTATTCATATATTTTCATGTATTTTAGTTGTAGTAAAAGGTGAATTCTTATCATAATTGTTGCTAATGTATGAATATTATGTAGTTAAAGCTCTTCTTTTTGCACCCTTTCTCATGTTTTACCTAGGTTAGAATGATGTCAAAGCATTCATGTAGATACACTGCTCATATCATATTTAATTCAATGACAATAAAAAAATCGTTTTTCAGACAATTTGTTTATCATTTATTAATCCATTTTCATCATTATTTTAATTCTGATGCCCCCACTTAAGCAGTTGGGGTCATATAGTTTTGCGCTTGTCCGTGTTACTGTCACGCTGTCCATCCATAAACTGACAAAACAGTTACATGTTTGCACATAGAGGAGTGAAGTGTGTGTCCAGAATGACAAAAAGTGGTTACAGTTTTATTTTTCCTTCATTCCATATGTGTCATTATATATGGTTACCACTTTCTTTATGTGGTCTTACTTTCGTAAAGTGATCTTATTTTAACTATACAAACTATGGCTATGGACACATTTCTAGTTATACATAGTAGTCTGATAATGGCTTACCATCATAGTCATGTGATCTTTACCAATTGCTGAAATGTATGTTTCATAGTAACTGGTCATTGACCAATCATATGATCTGAACAAACAGCTGAAATGAATGTTTCAGTCATGTGATTTTTATCAGAAGCTAAATTGAAGGAATTAATGTCAAATGTATACTAATAAGGTAACCTCTGTTGCCAGGTCGTTGTTAGTTTTGAATTCCAATCCTTTGATAGTTTGTCCAGTCAAAGCTTAGGGTGTGAAATCCACACAAAAAGGGACTGGAATGTTTTATGTGAGGAAACATTCCGGATTAATTACAGTATACTGAAGGAGGGTAGTTCTACTTGGGTGCCACCTTTAAGTTAAGCATGAAAATGGGAGTGAGACCTGAGGTATCCATCCACCAGTCAAGTGTGAAAACCTCTTGTAGTAAATATCCTTCAGCTGTATCAAAAAATGTTTAATCAATGGAAAAGTTTGATAAAATAAAGAGTATGCCATTTAACAAGTATTCTTGCATATAAACTGTGTAGTGAGGTATAAAATAACTATGGACAAAACATGTATTAACAGATAGATTCTTCCGTTGTTTCTTGATGTACGTGACTTGGGGGTGCAATCACAGTTATCAAACATAGCTGCCAAATGATGTCACACTAGCATGTGGAAAGCATTGAACAAGCAACGGTTTCTTTATACAAAATACAAAATATTTTTTTTTTATAAAAAATAACTATTTGGATGTACCTTTGGGTGCACCTTTTTTCATACATTTGCAGAAGCCCTCAGACTTGCTGAATCTCTCCCATTGTGGGCTCCAGCTTTAAATACTTCTTCATGTTTCTGCAGATGTTATTGTATGAAAAAGGTGCACAAACCCTTAATTGGTTTGTTTATTCATGAAGTTAGTAGATGTTGCTTAAAAAGAAGTTTAATAGTTGTTTGGCAGTTTCCTTTTAACTGTTTAATTATACAAAGAACTAATAGTTGTAAGAGAAAAAGGACTTGTCAAAGTAGAGTGATTAAGAATGCTGACTAAATATCCGAGTTACCTTTAACAACTTTGACTTCAGATCCAGCTACACATTGACTTTATTAGTTGCCTTTGTTGGCAATAACTTTTGATCAAGGTATGGACATTGATTTTATGATTTGCCCTTTAGTCTATGGTTACTATGGCTAAGGACGTTATGACATTATTTATTGCCCTTGAAATTCAGATGAAGGCATTGAATTCATATCTTGCCCTTTAAACCAGCAATGGACCAATAAATTCACAGCCAAGGGAAATTATTTCAGATGAGTGAATTTAATGTCCTTGGCTAAAAAGCTTTATCAGATGAGTGAATTTTATGTCCTTGGCTAAAAAGCTGTATCAGATGAGTGAATTTTATGTCCTTGGCTAAAAAGCTGTATCAGATGAGTGAATTTTATATCCTTGGCTAAAAAGCTGTATCAGATGACTGGATTTAATGTCCTTAGATGGAAAGGTATCTGTCCTTAGATGGAAAGCTATCTCAGATTAGTGAATTTAACGCCCTTTAGGACCCTAAATTCCCACATCTTTATATATTGCTTTGCAGCTAGTTCAATACAGGTTGGTGGTTCTGCCCAAGAATTATTTGACTTTGCCCACAGATGATACTGCATTATAGAGGGGCAAATTTGATCATCTTCTAGAAATGTATAGCATCTTTGTCCAAGCCTGATGAAAAAAATTCAAAGAGAATAGTTCAGAACAACTTGGATTATTTTCTTTGCAGCTTAAAAAGGTCTTTGCAGGAGAAATAAACAAAAATGTAGCATTAGTTCCTTGAGCAATAATATAATGTTCAGAAATCATCATTTATACACTTGATATCATAAATAGTAACATTTAACCATGATTTCAACTGGATATTATTGTCACA